AAACTGCGGAGAACCATGCAAAAAACGCATCTTCGCACGGGCAGTCCGTGCGTTGGCCAATTTTTCGCATTGCATTGCTGCAAAAAACGCATAAAAAGGTTTTTCGAGTGTTTCCAACGGTTAGTTGCTTTCGGAATGCTGGCGTTTGAACATTATTCCGATTGTCTCTGTTTTTCGTACTAGTGTAATGGAACGTGATGGTATATGTTGGGAGATAGTAACGATCTTACTTGCTGTCCGAGAACGATCCGTGGATCAAGCGTGCACAACCCCACGATCCGGAGCGTGGAACGATGCAGTGAGTTAAAGGCATAGTGCGTGAATCGCTGGAACAGCGTGACCGACGTGGTGTCGACCGACATAAACTGGAAATTCCCGGGTATCAGCCTCGACGAAGGAAACGTGAGGACCGTGCTGACCTTCTGACCCCCGGTCAGCACCAACCGAAGATATTTTAGCCCCAGGGCCTTTAATTAAGGTTAAAAGAAAAATGTATGAATGCTGTTAGAAAATATAAGAAAGGATGATAGGAAAGATAAAAAAGGGAAGGATGTGAAAAAGAAGTATATTAGTTAAGAAATGTTTCGGTCCATTAAGTCATATACATTTCTTACCTTTACCGCAATTGGACCTCGTTAGTACGACGATTGTGGTAAAAAGTTTTTTTTTAAAGTGTGATGGGAAAGTAAATAAGTTAATTATATGGGAAAGTAATAAGTCGAAATGAGAGTAAAAGAGAACGATAGGAAAAGTAGAAGGTGATGTGGAAGAAAATTAACCCATTGTGAATGTTTGGTTGTTTTCGTTGTTCGAACTTATGTCACACAAAGAACACAGCAGTAAAAGTCTAAAGGACATGAGCTTCTTCTTCCCAATCCCCTCCCTTATTTTAAGTTTTCTCAGTTGTTTCGGATTTTTCAGGAATGCAACAGGGATCTGACTGGGCAGCCTGTGATGCAATCTCCAAAAGCAAGCTCACGCTTTGCTTTCGCTTATTTCGTTTATTCGCCTCCTTCCCCGATTCCTGCAGAGCTAAAGGCTTTACCAGTGAACATTTTTAAGATACCTGCGCAGGTTTGTTTGTTTGTACTATTAGGGCACATTTCTGTAAAGTAAATATACTCGTTTGTTTAGTTTTAGAAATTCTCTGACCGAGTATTTGCGTTTTTACTTTCTTAGAATAATTGGTTTTTTTTTCTGTGGTACCTTCTTTCCATGCCAGGGGGGTTTTTTTTTAAACTTTTCATATATTTTTGTGATTGAAGTTGCTACAGTAGCCCTCATGGTCTGCGTTTTTTTTTGGTTTTGGTCATGGTATTCGTTTTTTGGTCCCCCTCCCCCTTGTTTTTAGCAGGAGAAATGCTCCGGATCACTTTTTCTTTTGTTCTTTCAAAGGACTAGTTAGTAATTCTCAAAATTCTCATAATTATATATCACCTATAAGAAATGTACGAGGAGCTGGTCTTATAAAAATAGATCAAAGGAAGCCGAACTTCAGATGTGGGGTTATCTTCAGCTATACCAGAAAATGGCCGTATTGCGTTTAATGGATTATCCTTAAATTTTTTTTGTCTTGAATTTAGGTAGATAAATTGATTTCCTGGTTGCATAATCAACCCCTAAATGTGCCTTTGGATATCCATGCTGATATTTCACAACTGCAAAGTGCGATAAATGAATTTCTGCAATATCGTCGAGAAAATCCTGCGTGGTTAGCAGAACGACTGCAGTTGATGCATGAGGTTTATTTTGCTTTCACAGTAGGCTGTATTATGTAGTAATCGTTGTAGCATGTATAAGAAGTAACTGGGGTAACTAGAGAGTAGGGCAAGGTGCAAGAAAAACATATATTGGGTGTTAGAATTACTTGCAAAGTGAGTTTCCTTCAACTCGAGTTTAGAGCAGATTTTCAAGTTAAAGACTCAGTTTTGAAATCGGTTCTCCCCGTCCCTCTCCCCATTTTTATGTGTTTTTTTTGGCATCTATGCAGTGCAAAAACTCAGGATAATCCTTTGAGAGGGGGTGGGGGGATGTCTGTGTGTATGTGTGTGAGTGAGTGTGTATGTATATGCGCGTCTGTAAAGATTTTCCATCTCGAAACCCAGAAAAGTTACAAGGCTGAAGCTTCGGCAACATAATTTACACGCATGTGCGAGTCCGTATCCTCAGAATGGTCGCTCATGCCCACACGGTTCTCACGTACGCGTACGTGAGAACTTTTGGCAGATGAGTTTTTAACTTGGGAACCGGAGAAGCTAGAAAACTGAAATTTAAGGGAATGTTCCCCCTTCATGTACAGTCTAATGATTTCAAATTCATCCTCCAGGTGTGCATGGTTTTTACGTACGAGCCCGTAAAAATTTTTTGCGAATAAGTTGCCAGCTCAGGAACCAGAAAAGCTAGGAAGCTGGAATTTTGAGGAAAAAAAAGGTAAAAGCTTCTGCCAGAAAAAGCAGTGCCGTTAGCGACAAAAACCTGCGGGGAACTGCGCAAAAAACGCATTTATGCACCGGCAATCGATGCGTCGGTCTGTTAATTATTTTATACTCGTACTGGTTTGTACCTAGAAGCTATCTCATTTTGATGCTAAAGCTAGCGTGGCTGTTGAGCATCACGTTATTTGCTGGCTTCGATTTTAGTAAACGTGCTTTCATTCAAAGTCCATAGAATTTTGTATTTTTGAGAGTGCCTGTACTAACAGTCTTTTTGTAATTGATACGGTACGTCATAGTGGATTTTTGGATCACTCGAAGTTTTGTTGTGGCTTTGCTGTGCAACAGTGAATTTTCGTTAAAAAAAAAATTAAAAAAAAAGTATTTTTTCAGTTTTAAAAAAAAGAGAAGTATTTCTTCAGGGCGGAGAGCCGGAATTCGATCCTCACAATATTCCTGTTCAAATTGACCGGCCGGTATTAACTGTCGAAGAACAAAGGCGTTTAGCAGAAGCAATGAATTTGGAACCGCCCGACACAGATTCATCAGTGGTAAGGCATTTTTGTTCCCTATGGAAATGAGTGATTACGTACGGCTCTAATTCAGGAAGTTAACAGTTGGTATCGCTAAACCAGCAAAAATTTCATATTTCAATATATTTAAAGACGAAGGTATATGGGGCTGTTTTTGCGTGGCGCTTTCTCAGTGAATACTTTCCAACGCCTGTTTCTTGGGGAATTGCTCTGGGAAGCAAACTAAAGTCGATTTGACTCTTTAGCTTTCTACTAATTTGGTGCCAGTTTGTTCTTGGGCCAGAGATTCATGGAGGAACTAGTCGCATAATTTGCGCTAAAAATTATTATTATTGTTATTGTCATTATTATTATTATTGTTATTATTATCATCATTATTGTTATTATTATTGTTATCATTATTGTTATTATTACTATTACTGTTACTATTTTAATTATTATTATTATTGTTATTATTATTATTATCGTTACTATTATAATTACTATTGTTGTTGTTATTATTATTGTCATTGTTGTTGTTATTATTATTATTATTATTATTATTATTATTATTATTATCATCATCATTATTATTATTATTGTTATTATTATTGTTATTATTGTTATATCGTTGTTATTATTGTTATCACTTGTCATTATTATTTATCATGATTATTGCCATTATCGTTGCCGTCGCTGTTATTACTAATACTGTTATTTTTTATTATTGTTGTTTTATCGTTGAGTTTGTTGTCGCACTGATGCTGTCTTGATGAATTCTCTGTTTCTTCCTCGTTTACGATTGTCGTATCTATATAATTCCGTACTGGCGTACATCCGGGCCTTTTTATCGCATTGGCAACCTTCCTTATGTTCATTTAGCATTTCATGAATACTTTCGTGTCAAAACACGAAAAGCGATAGATAAAATTTGTTCTCGAATGTTGTATTTTGTTCTTTTGTGTGTATATAAAAAAGATATGTGAAGGGGGATCACAGGGAGGGGGAAGGATTTTGAACTCCTGGGGTAAGAAAAGTGGTCATTCTTAGAGGGTTTCTGGATACGGCGGAGTGGAAGAAAATTGCGGCTTCGAAGGGTGGATTGAGCGGGAAAAAGAAGAGTGCTGGTGACCGTCAGGAGCCGACGAAGGGAATATTCTGTGGAGTGGTTGTGCTTTGGAATCGAAACGTGTATTATTTAAGTTATGTGAACTTTGTGTTTTTGAGTTTGGTGTTAAAATAAGAAATTCGTCTCTTTTCTTGGAGCGCAGTTAATTTGATCAGAAGCGTAAATCAAATGATCAACAAATACCATTCAGTAATCCGCTTTGTCAATTTGCTGCCTCATTTTTATTGCAGAATTCATATCTGTAGGTCATAGTAGTGTTTTTTTGAAGTGCAACATTTTTCAGAAATTGGAAGATGTACTGAGCTAACCCTTCTATCTTCCGTCCTCTATTTTTCTTTTAAACAGATGATCAAAGCAGCAATTCCCAAGAATTTTTCCAGTACTCGGCCAGTTTCCCCCCTTATTTTAAACTTATTCTTCCACTACTTGGCCATCTTTGCTCGTAGCGAGTCACTTCATTCCCTCAGACATTTTATTCGGAGAGTTATTCATGATCATTTTTTTCAGGAGGATCCACGATTCGCTTTGATTGGATCACCGGATGATAGCGACGATTCGGCTAGTG